TTCGGTAGGGAGATGTGGGAGAAATCACAAACGTCATAAATCCATTTTATTAGAATGTACATTTTATTAATTGTTTGACTCAATTTACTAAATTACTAGTTTAAATATTTTTGTCTCTGAATTGAACACACTAATTAGTAAACCAATCAAGGATACATTGTGCAATAGTTCTGATCTATATAATAAAATTGCGTGATTGTGTTTGCATTTTACTTGTTATCTTTTATATAAACAACATCATGAGTAATATTATTAAATTATTTTGATTTTTTTTTTTTCAACTCAAAGGATTTTTTGTAACTATGTTGATATATTTACATTTAATTCTATGAGTGATAAAGTGATTTACAAGGAATACATCAAGCAATAATTGAATAATTTATATTTATGCCATTTTTTGAATTCTGGTCCTACAAATAATTGGCTAATTATATGATAAACGAATACTAACATTTTAATCTTTAGAGCTATAAATAGCATCTGAAGGCTTCTGTGTATATAATATTCAGTTTCTAACATTGTTACACTATTATAAATCAATCTTACAGTTTCGATCTATTTTTCAAGAAAATTGGATCAGTATTACAATATATGTCGTGGCTGAAGAGACCATCTGTGGAATAAATGTCATTATTTGAATTTACTCCTTCATTAAAATAATTTATAGAATTTATTTAAAGTTATAATTTACTTACTGAGCAAAGCAGTGGATAATCGAAGTTGAAGAATCCCATGGCAGAAAACTCCTCCTTCCTTTTCGCTTTGAAATGGATTATGATTCTTTTCTGGAAAATAATAACAATTATGACCGTTACTGTTCATGTTTATATATTCAAAGCAGGCATGCATGTTTTTGTAACTACGTCATAAATCGCTTTATAAATTAAATCGTTATTTTCATTATGCATATAATGTTCAACATTATAGACCCAGAAAAATTGTGCCAAGTAACTAAGTATAGTTTCTTCGTCATTACTTTGGTAAAAACTAATTTACCGTTTCAGTAGTTTTTTTAGGACTGTTTCGGCAAATCTATTCGCCTACTTACCAACTTTAGCTTTCCTACATGTAATAGGATGTATAAAAAATGTCCGTTTTCAAGATTTCAAAGGACTAAATATTTTAATCCTACTACTTATTTAATTCTTAATAATAATACCTATTTAATACTTGATAATCTCTTTAGAATTCTCATAATTTTAACGCAATTACTAGAAAAAAAAATGAAAAATTTAGCAGGTGAGATACGACGTTGGAAAGGAAGAAGGACTCCGGGAGATCATTAATGGATATTGATGAGGTTCTGCAGGAAGCTGTTGAGTCAAATCCGTCCACGAGTACTCGCGAGCTTGCCAGGGAGTGTGATGGGTCGAAAGATACTGTTAGTTGTCATCCACTCTCCGTTCTGGGGAAGGAGAAAAAGAGCAGTAGACTGGTTCCTCACGAACTTACTCCTCAGGAATCAGCTAAGAGGTTGGAAATTTGTGAAAATTTATTGAGAAACCCTTCTGATATGAGTCTCCTGCCTCATCCACCGTATAGTCCAGACCTCGCACCATCGGATTATTACTTATTTAGATCCATGGCTAATTTTTTGCGAAAAAAATTGATAATTTTGCGAATGTTAAAATTGCTATTGAGGAGTTGTTTGACACCCATCCCAAAGAATTGTATCAGCGTAGGATCAAGCAATTGGCTAGCAGATGGCTAATGCCGGTAGATGACATAATTTGATACTTAATTGTATTTTTATATGAAAGAAATAATAATACAAATATTTGGTTGAAAAACGGTCATTTTTTTTTTTTTTTATTCATGCTCCTGTGTCGAAAAATGGGTTTTTATAAACACAGGAGCACCCGAAACGTGAAATTCTGTTACAAACTGCACATCTAGAATTTGATATGACTATAATACTTTATTTATCTAGCTATTAGAGTCAGGAAAGTGAGATTGCCTATTCAAACGCGTTTGTAAAAAAAACATTTAAAAAAATTCCCTCCACTGTCTACTCCAGGAGATCTGTGACCTATTTAAAGGAGTTTTTAGGAATATATTTATTTTTTTAATATAAATTACAAGAACAATATTTAGAGGAGTGGTAGCTGATATCAAGAACTACAAAAAAGTTCATATAAACAATGGATCAGTTTCAAGCAGAAAACTATAAAATCCAAGTATTGTGTTTTCTAAGTGACATGTTTTTTGTTGAATAGGAAACGGTAACTACAGATATATTTATAATGGTTTGAGGATGGTTGACTGTTGATTATAATTTCAGAAGTTAGTCGAGGGTGCGATCGGTATATAAAATACAGTATTATATCATAGTATGTTTATTGCATTGTCCAACGTTTGACGAAATAATTAATAATTGCTGCATTGTAGGTATAATAGAGAAAATTTAATTCCAACAAAAATAGAGTTTGTCATTGTTAAAACCATTTACAGAGGACGTTTGAGCGGTTAAACTAAGCTAAGTTCTGTTTTTAATAAAATCATAAATTATTCCTGATTTTTGCTATCATTACCCAATATAGGTAACCCACTTCTAGAAAAACTTTCTCGTTTAATTTGCTTTAAGTCTATATTAATTAAGTTGAGGTTAATTAGACAAAAACTTGAGATTTACCTTAATTCGTGCCAAAAAATGATGTAATTTTTTATTCTATCACCCAAAAGTACCAGTGTTTTCAGAAAAAAAAAATCACTATAATTAAAAGCTTTGCATTTAATTATTGGCTCCTTATTTATATGAATATTTTTGTAGATCGTTAGGTCAACTATAATAATTAATTTGGAATATGATCGTATTTATTTTGATATTGTAGCATTCTTATAGTTCAGCGTATATTTTTATCATTGTGCCTCCTTTTTATGCGTGTGTTTCTATGTGCTGGTCATAATTAGTTATATGTTCATATACAATGCTATTTCGGTATACTGTTTCAAATTAGCTTTTTTAAATATAATCTCAATGTGAATAAATCAAGTATCAGATTATGAAGTATTGATTGACCAATGAAATGGAGTGACAAATAACAGTGACCATAGCATTTTTATCTTTTATAAAGACATATTATATGATGTATATGTTTGTATTTTGTTATTGAATAATTTTTAAATTTTTTTTCTTTCCAACTCATGTCACCTCATTCCCTATCTCTCTCTCCTCCCTCCCAAAAAAAAAACAAAAAAAACAAAAAAAAAAACAATAAAAACAATGTGATCTCCAAGTAAAATCGTACCATTTTATTTATGTCCTACTATCCACCATTTCAATATCGAATTATATTCCAAAACTGTTTTACATAGAACCACTTTATTTTGTATATTACTTTATATTTTTATTTATATATATATATATATATATATATATATATATTTTTTTTTTTTTTTTTTTTTTCCTTTCTTATATACATATTGTGTGAATGAATACTATAGCCCTAGTACCAATGCCCTTCAGTGTGGCAGACTGTATTAATACTCAATAAAAGTTTAAGTTTCATAAATCTTTAAAAAAAAATTTTCAACTAAAACCTTTTTTATTTTTATGAAAGCTTTTTTCATAGTTCTTACCCACTTAATTCAAGCCACTAGCCCAAATGCACGGTGCTAAATGCTACTAAATGGCACGGTTTTACTAAGAGATCACATTAGTTATCGTTTTCTATTCAACATGACACGGTATAACAATCCTTAATGAAATTAAAACTATATACTTACATTCTTAACGAGAGTTTTCGTAGAATCGTTGATTATCATATAGTATACCAAATTATCGAATTTCTTCGCCTGAAAAAAAAAAATTGGGTAAAGGCTTGATTTCATTGATAATTAAAAATATTTAGTCCTCTAGATGATTTTTTTTTCAATTATTCATTTTTACACTTACAAACCTTATAACTTTTCATCCATCGTTTAATGACTTAAAGGTTATAAATTTGATGATTTACCATCTTTCTTATATGCTATTATTGAAGGTCAGTTAAGGTAGATAAAATATGGTGATTTACCTTAAGTGCTTCTTTTTTTATTTAAAAAATATTTTTAAAGTAATCTTAAGGATATAATAATGGATATATACTATGGTACAATTAAATTTAAGGTTAGGGACAATTTGAAATAAAAAGAACTTATCGGTAGGTACATGCTGATTATGACCCAAAGTTTCTGTTGAATCGTCAGTGAATAAATAAAGAAAGTAGACAAATTTCATTTTTGTTTTAATGTGATACAATCGTAAACCTATGACTTCCTATCCTACAGTATCCTTTAACAATACCCCACTTATCCCTGTTGACCAAATCCGATACCTAGGACTCCACCTTGACAAACGACTCACTTGGAACCCCCATACTAGACTGAAACGACAAGAAACCGCCCGACGTTTCCGACTACTCCAGCATTTACTAGAAAAACGCTCTAAACTGCCAACTATTTACAAAAGATTCATATATATTACTATAATAAGGCCTATTTGGACTTACGGGATCGAGCTTTGGGGCTCTACTAAACCATCAAATTCCTCTCGTATCCAATCCCTACAATCCAAAATCCTTCGTAAAATCCTTAATGCTCCCTACCTTGTCACAAATAAAATCATCAATAGTGACCTTAATGTACCATATGTTTCCGATTTAGCTCATTCCAGATACCTGTCCATTCATAATAAACTTATGAACCATCCGAACCCTCTCATTTCCAACCTAGAACCAAGAAGATGGCCTCGGGACCTTCTAATATAGAAATATAATTGAAGTGCTACCAATGGGTAGTTTCTCCTCATGTTGTACATGTCATATTACTTGTTCATATTTACTTGTTGTATTTATCATTAATAAGAGTTGTAAATTACGTTAATAAAAAAAAAGAAAAAGTGATACAGGGTGTTGGAAGTTCATGTTTTATTATTTTGTTTATATAAACATTATGTTGGCAAATAATGTGAAGAAGGATTTCTTGCAATGATTTCGTTCTAGTAAAGTGCATGTTTAATGTCAGAGTGGGAAGTATTTAGTCCTAAACCCAACTATAGAAATAAATATTTTACATAATATATGTTAAATATCATTTATTACATCATTTGAATGATACCAAATATATACTCACGCAACTTAATGTCGAATCGCACAGAAATATGATGTACCAAGTAATTAAACAATACGCAAATGCCCATGTAGCATACATGACCGCAAAGAGTAAGTTGGATTGAATCACTGCAGATACGGCAACGTGGTAGGCGTTGCAAACAATGCCAACGAAGTTTGTAGTTACTATCATCAACAACTGAGGAGCGTAGCAAACGCTTATGTCCCTGCAGCACTTGCCGAGCTCTTCGCGGCAGCAGCACCACCTCTCGGCGGTGCCGTGGTCCAAGGTGTCGAGGATGTGCTGGTACTGGCTCTTCACCGCGCTGATGAGCGATTTGAACTGTGCCAGGACCGACGCGAATGATAATATGGAAAGGTTTAGCATGCATGCTCCGAGAAAATGGACTTCCGTAAATCGGTGAAATGCAATTAGATTGCACACCAACAGTACAGCAGAGAGGGATATCATCTTGGTACCCGTATCGGGTGTACAATATCCTGTCACTGTTTCGACGTTTCGAATAATTTTGAAGAAATCGACTATCTTTTTCTTCCTGTACAACAGCCAAGCCAAGTTACAGACTGGTATCACTGTGAATATTATTGGAAAATAAAAGGAGGATTGTATTAATTTCGGATCTGGTATTGTTATGACAATATCTTTTGCGAACAGAATCGAAACCGTACTGTTACATCCAACTACAATGAGTGAAAGGAAGAAGTGCTTGTAGGAAACGTCTATGTAGTCCCTAGAGAAGTCGAAAGGGAACGTGAAGAGGAATCGGCTCAGTTTGAAGGTTTTCCCGATGACCTCGTCCAACCCACGGCGCGGAGGGTCCACAACTCTGATGGAACTCATAGCAGGAGCTGCACTTCTGGTCTTCAGGGTGTTACTGGCCAAGGAACCTACACACTAATGTTTTAGAGTGCCTTCTAATGTTTATTGAATTTGTTAGAGACACTAATATAATGAATATGTTTGTGTTAGTAAAATGTGTGTTCTATAAATGTTGATTTTCTATTTCGCAAAACTTCCTTGAGAAAATACTAGTTATGGTGTTTCTGAAAACAATTATGTTAAAGTGTTTCTTGATGAGTAAATGTTTCTTTTTCAGTTATGGATTGGTTATAGATTCAATTTGATGAAGTTCATTTCCATTATTAAGTAGATTATTCTTTAAACTAGTACACAACTATGAAACCTTGAGTATTTTTAAGTAATTGAACTTTATTAACATTTTTATTATAAATTCATCAATTTTTATTGGTGGCGTTGAAGTGAAAATTACAGAAATATTGTACTATAACAGTTCTACTTTATCTACAATATCTGCCAAGCAAGGTGGGTTTATTCCCACTATTAATATTATTATTAGATAGATAGATAGAAAGTAAACTTTATTCTGGGACAAAGTCCCTTATGAATAACAGATATGAACAAAAAAATAAAAACTACATCTGGCCAAAAATTACATTAATCAATATTAAAGAATATATACAGTATCTTCAGTGAAGTTAAATTAAAACAATTAAAAATAAAATAAAATTTTGAGAAAAAACGAAATAAAAAAAAAACATTATTTAAATGAAAAAAAAAAATAAAATAAAATAAAATAAGCATGGGTTGATTTTTAAAATTAAGACTCAATAAATTTTATCAACCATTCACCTCAGTCAAAATTAGTTTCACTATATTTATTTTATTGTATAACGTCATTTTGGGATGTGAGAAGGAATTGGTAGAGATGATATTTAAATGAGGACAAGGAGGAGGCATGGCGGATTTCAGATGGCAAGGAATTCCAGAAGGCTGTGGATCGGGAAATAAAGGAATATTCAAACGTCTTAGTTCCATGGGAATGGATATAAAGGTCGGAAACACGGGATCTTGTTTTCTGGGAGTGGACCACAGGTTTAAACTGTAGGAGACTGTAGATGTAAGAAGGGTGTCTATTGTTGATTGTTTGGAATAGGAAAGATCCGAGGAAATATTGTCTGCAGAAAGAAGGGAAGAGCCACTTTAACTCGTCGTAAAGGTGGGACACATGAGATCGCCTTGATGTACCGAAGACAAATCTTAAGCACGTATTCATGAGTCGCTTCAATCTATCCTCGAGTACCATTGGGATGCCTCCGTACACCACACATCCGTAGTCAAAGTTATTATAAGACAAATTAATGCAATATGGTTTTAAAATAATGAGATCAGTGCAATAATGAGTCTCAATAAGATGAGTGCAATAAGATACCCCCGCCCCTGTAATATTATCTTCTTTTTTTGACTTTTTCTACCTGAGGCGTCTGTGATTATATCTCAGTCATTGTTGTGGCATATTTATACATATTTATTATGTAAATTTCTTGGATCTCCATCGGAATGAATCTTCATTACATTACATTACTTGATTCAATACATAAATTAATATAAATACGCAAAGATAATTCTGCGGTTGTGGGTAAACAAAAGATTAAAAACCAGTATGCACATGATGACTACCTTCTGAGAGGTCAGAAAAAAAAAATAGGCATAGCAAAAACATTAAGATGAGCCCTGTATAATACTAAAAAGCAAGTTTCTACTTCGTTTACATTTTTGAAGTTAACAAAGTGCTTCAATAGAATATAAAAGGCAAAACGCCATTTATAAACCAAAGTGAGAAAACAAAGTATAAATATAACAAATAAATGTTCAACAATTTAAATTAATTTAAAATATACAGAGATAATTTTAATTATTGTCTCTCCATGTGTTTTGAAATACGCTCATAATGATACAATGAATATAGAAAATCAGTATCGTAAATGAAAATACATTGTACTAATAATTGTTTTGTTTTTAAATTAACCAATGGAAAAAGAATTGATAATAAACTCCTTAAAAGGAAATGGAATTTAATAGAATGATATAACAATTTTAATGGTTATAAAGACGGATCGATTTCAAGTAAATACAGTCTTCTTTTTTCTGGGAAGTTGTAAGTCTTTGTTTTTGGCAATGGTTACTTGCAATTAAACAATTGATTTATGTGTTGGATTTCTAAATTGTAGCTATATAAAAAATAAACATTTAACAACAATAGTAAAAAAATAAACAGTCATATCCAAAGGTCAATTGTATTCACTAGTGTTGTCCAAATGCGAGACCGAGACGAGTCTTGGTCTTGCAAACTCAGTTTTGGTCATGGTCTTAAGAGTGCCGCAAGAGTCTTGCGGTTACTTATTAGCTCATTACTGTATTTTTTTTTAGATAGGACAAACCTAACAAAGCCGAAATGAAAAATTATAGGATTTAAATGCTATACCAATTATTTACATAAAGTAACTAAGATTGTTGAGTAGCAGTAACTATTTTGCCTTATTTTTTATTCAAAAAATCAATTTTTTTACCAGTCCTTGTCTTGGTCTTGCAACAGTTAGACGGTCCTGGTCTTGCAAAGTGCAAGAACAAGACCGATTTTGGGCAACAATAGTATTCAACATGGCAGACACCCAATAATTTGGCCTAAAAGCATGATGATGCTCTGGATATTATATACTTTTGAATTTAGAACCTGATAATGGAGCACATTAGATCTGAGGTAATTACAAATTTAATGTAACAACCCAATCCTGACATGTATTGTAACATGTATTATATTTTGACTCAATTTTTAGCCATGAATCAACAAAAATACATTGACATTGTACTTCTGAAGATGGGAGTAAATATCCCGAAACGCTAACATGTAAACCTGTAATTTGGAAATACAACAAATAAATCAATTGTTGTTTAATTGGAATTCCTCATTGCTAAAATCAAAGAGTAAATACAGTCATTTTAAATCGAATAAATGGAATAGAATAGAAATATTGGTGAGTTTGAATTTTCGTGTAGAAAAGTGACATAGTGATCTCGAAAGACAGGCGGGGGAACTGTGGAAAGAAAAGTGAAAAGCTTTCTTCATCAATCTGGATCAAACCAAGCCATTCGGGTCACGCTATTGTCTAGATGTCTCCTCTTCTTCTTGTAATAATTTCAGTTTCCTTGTAAACCACCATCTATTGTCATTACTATTTTAATTATTTTCTGTTCTGGGCAGTTTACAAAACTTTCATATTTTAATATTTATTTTCTACACTCACGTTTACCTACTTAAGCCCATTCGGAGCTCCACTTGACAGATTTACGGGGCAACCAAAATACTATAACTTAAGCTCCATAGTAATTTATGCATATTAGACATTTACTTTTCTTCTTCTTTTCTTTGTTCTTTTCTGATAACAACTGTTTTCCATCTCAGAAACAGTTATGTGTTCAACAAACACTTAGATATTCATTAAAATTACGATTTATTTTTTGCCAATAATCACAAGATATTTTGAATGGATTCGAGTCTTTCTATTTTTAATAAATAGAGCCATCTCATGGTTCAGATATCTTATTTATGGAAATTATATTATTTTGAAGAGGTAATAAGCAAAGGCACTAGGTACTAAGGAAGCCTAGGACCCGATTATTTTATGAAGGAAAACCAGCTCCAACAATATTTCGCAGTCACTTGCTTCATATAACTCACTAAAAGTTTACCAAATATAATAATTATAATAGTGGTATTGGTTTTATTATATATTTTATATTATAATGATGGTAGATTGTAGTTAATAATTGAAGAGAAGTTGGATGGAATATGATAAATATCATTTATTTATTTTTGACTGAACACCCCAACAAATGATATTATAATATGGGAATCAATTAATTTAAATCTCTATAGAAGGAAGATATTTATTTGTTTATCCATGGTAGATTACTACAGTTTGTTACCAATAGTAAACCAAAACATATTAAAAATGTGAAACCTCAAATTTTGAGAGGGGGTTAAGTTTTTGAATTTTTTGGTCCATCACAATGTTTTATTATTGATAATAATAAACCAAAAATATTTAAAAATCCCGATGTCTTAACTAATTTGATTTCGATGAAACTTCCTTCATATTTTAGGAAATTTAAATACCTTTGAAACATTTTATCACAATATTGACAAAAAAGTGTAAACTTTTTGAGTTATTCAGAATTTAATTTTACCATCCCTCATAACTTTTTTCCCAGCTATTTTTCTTTGAAATATGTTATAGATAGATAAATTTAAAGAGCGTCGAGAAAGTGACTTTAGCAGAGTTTCATTGAAATCGGTACATTCGTTTAAGCGCTACAGTCTATAGCAACGCAGGTTTTTCTGCCGCCATTTTGAAAGTAAAAGGCGGATAGTAATGTCGATGAAGGAGGATCATCCTCGGGTGAAATCTGATTTTATATCTAAATTTGAAAAAAAAATCGGCCCAGTAGTTTCGGAGAAAATGTGCGGACGGCGGACGGACAAGAAAATTTTTATTCGTTTTTCGAATTCTACTTATCCTGAAACGTAAAATCTCAAATTTTGAGAGGGGGTTAAGTTTTTAAATTTTTTGCTGGATCACAATGGTTCATTATTGGAAATAATATACCAAAATAAAATTGGCTGTGTCTTTGCTAGAAATAGTCCGACTTAAATAATCTTTTCCCTCGTTTCGTTGGGAATTTGGGTTTCTTTTTAAATCCTTATTCAACTATTTATTAATTGTATACTTTTTGAATTTTATTCAAATGAAATTTCCTTTTTATCATAACATTGGTTTCTGGATTTTCTAGAAAATATTTAAGTATGGCGTATCGAAAAAAAAACATGAGAAATAATATAACATGTGATATTATATATGATACATGTAGTAACTATTCCTTTATGTTAAGCGCTCATCCTCTTCTCCCCCTTCTAGCAATTAATACTGTTACTGTGTTACAGTAACCCAACTACGTTCGCTTCTCCCCTCCTCACTCTCCCCTCCAATAGTTCCTAATTGCATGCGCCTATGGCACTAAACATTTCAAATTATACACTAATGGCCCAAATTATTTCTATTTGATTGTTGCTTACAATATATAACCAGCACCGATCAATAAACAACATTTTTTTGTTTGGTGGTCACCCAATCGACTCCAATATATAAGTGACAATTTCGGTAAAAATAACAATACTATTTCGTCTATGGAACTAGTTGTACTCACTTTTCTAATCACCGTGCTGCAGCGGTAAGTAATAAAAACTATAACTGTGCTGTTCAGAAAGACCCTTATACCAAATATACAACATATTTTTATGAAACCATCAGGTCCTTCTATTGCTGACATTATCGCCTGGTACGCATAACTGATTGTCTTAATAAAAGTTGAAGATGTGATCAACAGAATTTGGGGAGAGAAAAAGTCGCTTGTGTACCCACAACATTGCCTAAGCTTCTCGTGAGCCATACAAAAATTCTTACATGAATCAGTTTTCACCCTATCCAACATGTTCTGGTAGTGATCCTGTATTATACTGGTGAGGCAGCTAAACTGTATCAGAATAAATAACGAAATGGACGAGCAGATGTTATGAACACACGATCCAAAAAAATATATCGCACCTGAGGGTAATAACAAGGATACGTAGATTGTGAAGTGGATGAACATTATCACAACTAATGCCCACGAGATATGGATACTCGGATCAGGTGCCATATGGCCAGTCACCGCCTCTATAGCGATTATTGTTCGGAAGATCTTTACTAGCTTCTTCTTCTTGTGGGTCAGCCACAACAGATGACACGGCGGCGCAAATAGAGCGTATATACCTGGATAAAAGTGCGAGTAATGTAATATATTTCCATCGAAGATGTTTGACACAGCCATCTCGTATATAAAATACACCAAATACAAATTGACAAACACAATCAAGGCTGCAGATAAGAGGAAGTACTTATACGAAATGAATAAACTTTCCTTAGAAAAGTGGAAGGGGAAAATGCATAGTATGCGGCTGAACTTGAAAATTTTTCCGACTACGTCGTCCAAGCCACGACTTCGCTTCTACACCATCGATAAGTAATGAGCTTTGCCCTCGTTGGATCGAAGTTTTGACTGAACTCATCACATAAATGCTTGTTAATACATTAAAATGTTTACTGCTTGTTATGTTGTGTGACGTTTGAAGTAAACAAAGTTCTCATCTAGCAATTAGTTCAAGTGTATTTTTGTTTGCAGCTAGATGTCAGGTTTGCAACGATATCCTGTTAAAATATTTGGTAAATTACTTTTTGATTGATCTACATATATTTCATATTTCTGGTTTTAGTTCGGGAGCCCGTGGCAAAATATATTAGTAATTTTATAATAAGGATTGATTTTATAAATTGACCACATGTCTGAAAAGTATACGGCATGTTTGCCATCGATTTTGTAAAGTAAATGATTTTGTAAATTCAGTGAGGCTAATCTGGGGTCGTGATTTTTTGTTCAAAATGTTGTATCGTCAGCGTAAGCAGCAGTCAATGTTTCGGAGGTGGTAGGCATGTCATACGTATATATACCTCGGCAGTTATTAAGTCATAACCTGGGACTATTCTTTTAGGTAATTGTTTGATTTGTTGTGCAACTTGTGGAGGAGCGAACGATTTTAAATTAGACCTCAATGACCACATTAACTCAATTTGATATATGACTGTGTTCTCTTAGTGGTTGGAGAATTGTGTTGTACTGAGAAATTGATAATTCATACAAAATGCAAGGTAACCAGGTTTCGAAGACATCATAGAAATTACCTAACTATGATCACGTGGTACTAACTTTACTGATTGTCAAGCTACAATAGTAAGTTATGTAAAATATAACTGTGCAACACAGAAACACTCTTGTATCAAACATGCAACATATTTGTATGGAACCATCAGTCCTATATTGCTAACACTATCGCTTGGTATGCATGGCAGATTGTCTTAGCGAACATTGAACATGTGATCTACGGAAGTTGGGGAGAATAGTAGTCGCTTATATACGCCCAACATTGGCTAAGTTTCTTGTGAGCAAAGCAAAACCTCTTAATTAAGCAAATGATTAATTTTTTATCCTATCCAACATGTTCTGGCAGTGAACTGCAGTACTGGAGTTAAACTGTAACTCAAACAGGTCACCGATTTCAACCATTTTTTGAGGAATGATTTTACATTACGAAAAAATTATATGGGATTCTTACAAATGAGCTTTAGAAGCCGAGAAAAAATAAATAGTTTTAAATATTTTTCTCAACATTTTTTTACTCGTATTATTCCTCTTCACGATAAAATTTTGATTAATAACTCATTACTGAGGGGATGAAATGCTGAAAAATTCCCTCGCTTACATTATGGAGTTCCGATTTTTAGTTTCTGAGAGATTTTAATCCATATCTTCAATGAAACTCGTCATCATTTTGTTTTTGATACTATTTTATCCATTTTCGTCTCTGTAACACGGCGTCGCATTAAGATACAAGTTGAAATAATTCCTCATTGCAAAGAGGACGAAATGAACATTTCTCACGAAAAAAATATGTAGGTATGATTTTTAGTTTTTGAGATATTTTAATTCATATGCTAAAACACTTCAATTAGTCGACTCCATCCGATTTTCTCAAAGCGTTAAACATCGGAGATCTGACGGCTCAATCTAATTCACTCACCACAAAGTGCAAAATGCACCAAAAGAAATTTTCATTTTAAAAACTAAAAATATTATTAAGTGTCTTAACCAAAAAAATATATTATGAAGAAATTCTAATGAGTCTAATCCTTTTAAAATCCAAAATGAATTTCATTACTTTAACTTTATTAGGTAATTTTCTACGGATGAAACACGGCCATATTCCTAGTACTATATTGCTAGTTATCTTAATAGTAAAGGAAAAAACAATTAATCTATTCTAATTTCCCATAAGTAATGAAATATGTTCAGTTATTACTAATATATAAATTGATTTATAGAAGACTACTAATATATAAATATAATATAAATAAATTTGAATTTTAAACACACGGTTATATTTATGATATTATTTATTCATTCTTTTATGCTATCAGGTCTTACAAATGCATACTTTATTATCTTCATGAAAAGTGGATAATCTTATTTTCAGCAGTTTTAATGCCTTTTTCTGGAGTGAAAACATAATGTATAATCTACATATAAATTTAAATTTGGAAAATATACATAAGAATTTATTATGTCTGTTTTTGGGGGATTCTTAATATGAAAATAAAATTATTTTTTCATTAATGACTTTTTAACCAAATATATTATATATTTTTCAAACATATCTTTTGGATTAAATGAAACTTATTGTTACTATATAACTTACTATATGAGCTTCTTATACTCACTTTACTGATTGTCGCGCTGCAACGGTAAGTGATGTATAATGTAACTGTTGAATACAGAAATACCCGTATCCCAAAAATCCAACACTTTTTTACGAAATCATCAGTTCCATCGAACGCTAATATTATGGCTTGGTGTGAATAGCAAATCATTTCAATAAATGTTGAAGATGTGATCAGTAGAAGTTGAGGAGCGTAGCAGTCGCTTATGTACCCGCAACATAGGCCAAGTTTCTCGTGTGCCCGACAGGACTTCTTAACAGAATCGGTTTTAACCGCAAACGACATGTTTTGGTAATGATTCTGTATAATACTGATGAGGGAATTAAACTGTATCAGAATAAATAGCGAAATGGACCAGTAGATGGTGTACACAAAACCTGCAAAAAGATACTTATATTCGGGTATCATCAATACCGCATGGCTGGCGAATTGGCAAGCTGTCATCAAAGCAATGGCCCATGAGACATGAATATTTGGATCAGGGGCCTTATGGCCAGTCAAGGCCTCCAAATCTAGGATAGTATGAAAGAACTTTTCTAACTTTTTCTTCTTGTAGCTTACCCACAACAGATGGCACGGTGGCACTAACAGAATGTGTACGGCTTGAAACAATTGCGAGTATTTAAATAACATTCCTCGAAAGAAGTTCTCTAGAGATAACTTGTATATAAAACAAACGGCACACACATTGAAGAACAATATCAACGCTGCAGATAAAATGAAGTACTTGTACGAAATGAATAAGCCTTCTTTGGAAATGTGAAAAGGGAAAATACAAAGCAGACGTGTGAGCCTGAAAGTTTTACCGACGATGTCATCGAAGCCACGACTTCGTCTCAACGTCATAGATAAATTCAAAGCTGCCTCCTGAGGAACTCAGTTTGGCCTGAACTCATCGAATGATTGCTTCTTAATCCGCTAAGAGTTTTATCGCTTGTTATGTTTTTTGACGTTTGAGGTAAACAAAGATCTGCGGCAGTAATTAATTCAAGTGTGTTTCTGTTTGTTACCAAAAGTCGGGTTTGTAACGATATTCTGCTAAAATAAAAATAAAAAATGCAAATTGATATTTGATATTAGGGATATTTTGTATATTCTAATACATAGGCCAAAATTTTGCTTTTCCTCACTTTTTATCATTGGATTCATTTTGGTGACTTGGAGCTAGGAATATTGAACAATAAGGTATTTTAACATACTCGGGGAAACATTTCATTTACTAGCAATATAATAATTATGGAATTGTTAAAATAACTTTTTTTTAAACTGAAAACTTCTTTAGAAGCATTTTGAACTTTTTTTTATGTGAGTGAATATAAAGAATATAAAGATTTCCGAAGTGTTGACACTCGGGACAAGTCGGTGAAAAGACGCAATGTTAGAGAGGTGAAAAGGAAAAAAAATATTGTCGAAAACCAAATGATAACGAGTTTAGTATGGATTAAAATATTTCAGATACTAAAATTGCTTAGGCCTCTGTGCTTGCATCCTTGCTTTCTTTAGCGCTATTCGTGCTCGGAAATGGACAATGCTTTTTTTTATTTATTTATTGATGATATTTACAACTGTACAAGTAAAAATACATTTAGTAAATGTGAACAAAAGAATATAGTAGCATGAAATCATTTGTTGAGAAACTACCCACTGGTAGCACTCTAAAAATGTATTTACAAAAGGAGATCTCGAGGCCATCTTCTTTTCAGACGCCTTGGGGGGTTTTCAGGGATCGAAAAGGAAGCAAGGTTAGAAACAAGAGGGTTAGGATGGTTTTGAAGTTTGTTATGGAAGGAAAGGTATCTGGATTGGGCCAGGTCAGAAACATAAGGAACATTAAGGTCGTTATGGATGATTTTGTTTGTGACAAAGTAAGGAGCTGTGAGGATTTTACGAAGGATTTTGGATTGTAAGGATTGGATACGAGAGGAATTCGATGGCTTAGTGTAGCCCCAGAGCTCAATTCCGTAAGTCCAAATAGGTCTTATTGTAGTCATGTATATGAGTCTTTTGTAATTGACTGGGAGCTTAGAGCGTTTGTCTAGTAAGTGCTGGAGTAGTCGGAAACGTCGAGCTGTTTCTTGTCGTTTCAGTCTGGTATGAGGATTCCAAGTTAGACGTTTGTCTAAGTGGAGTCCAAGGTATCGAATTTGTTCAACAGGGATAAGTGGGGTATTATTAAAGGATACTGTAGGACAAGAGGACATAGGTTTACGACGAAGGGTAAAGGTGATTTGATGGGATTTATTGGAATTTATTTTGATTCTCCAGTTTTGAAACCATTCTTCAAGGTTTGTGATGTGTGATTGAAGGATTTGAGATGCAATTGTTGGGTCGTTATTAATTGATAGGGCACATGTATCATCGGCATACGTGGTAATGAGAGTGTTAGGATGGGTTGCGATATCAGCTGTATAAACTGTGTAAAGGATAGGACCTAGGATACTACTTTGAGGAACACCAGCGGACTGGGAACAAAGGGATGAATAGGCATTATTATGATTT